GCCTACTGAATTCTCAGCAACCAGAAATAGAAACCCAGTCTCAGTTCTATACATGTGAAGTTAAATATGCATGGTATTGTCTGTGTGCTGAAAACTCCCCATAAAGTCTGGCCAGAGTTCAGTGAATCATTAGGGAGACAAAACCAGCTACAGTGCCAGCTTATTTTGAAAGAGGATCATGAGTATCACAAATGTCAAGATATCTAACCTGAGGTAAAAAGAACAAAACAAAGAATCCATTAGAAAGAAAGACATGCAGGTTTCAAGAACTTTTCTTTGATCACTTTGGAATGGAAAGAGACAACCAAATTAGTATTCACTTAGACTGACATCTATTTATCCTACTTAGCTCAAATCAAAACCAATGACTCTAATGGTTTTTGAACAGCCCTATGTAAGTTCTAAAAATTCAGGCAGAAACCTGTCTGTAAATGGGGAGACATACAAATGTACTGACAAAATATCTCTCTATAGGTATGTACATATGTGTACCTTTTACGTACAAACACACACTTTATCAAAAAAAAAAAAGAACAAAGTGCTAGTTCATTGTGTAACCATATGTACTTCTAATTATTAAGGAAAATGATTTAATTAAAACTTCCTGCCTTGATCAGAGGTGTCAGTTTAGACCCCTGCTATGAAATAAGGAAATAGTTAAAGATGACCACATTTCCATTTTCTGATGGCTTAACCATGGTAGTCACTCAAAATAAATTGTCTAAAGGCATATAAACATACATCAACATGCAATCAATCCATGATTGGGATAAACACTGGAGTTATGATTTCACTGGTATAAAGTAGCAGTTCTCAAGAATGATCCAGGACCCATGGAGGAACCTGAGATCCTTTCAGAGGGTCAGCAAAGACAAAACTATTTTCATAATCATATTAAGATATCTTAATTTGTAATACAGAAAATATCAGTTGGTATAATTCCTATAAGCAGTTTTGGGGAAGTCCTCAATATTCTTTAATAGCGTAAAGGGGTCCTGAGGCCCAAAGATTTGAGAGCCACTAACACAAGGAATTCTAGGATGAAAAAGCTCCTCTACCAAGGCAAGTTGAAACCTGCTCAGCAACTTAGAATCTAAAAAGAATTGCCAAGAGAATAGGGAGTTTAAGTGATTTGCCCAAGGTCACATAGCCAGTATGTGTCAGAAGCTGGACTTTAACTCAGGTTTTTCTGTCTCCAAGGCTAGCAGTCTACCCACTACTTCATGCTGTTTCTAAGGAACCATAATTCACAATGTTACTGTTTTGCAAGATATCATCTATGAAGTTTGAGCCCAGGGTCCCACTACTTATTATTAGCTTGCATAACTTCAGACAAATCACTTACTGTGACTGAATTCATAACCTCATCTATAAAATGAAGATAACATCATTTATTCGTCTACCCCAGAAGCCACAATGAAATGTTCATGAAATGAAGTGTTTGTGAAAGCCCTCTGAAAACTGCAATGTGCTATACAAATTCAGAGAATTGTGTTTAATGCCTTGCTCACAGTGGAAATTCAATGTCTGTTGAACTGGAAAATGTAGAAGTGACATGTGACCAAGAGTTATGAAACATTTTTAAGCACACATACCAGAAAGTATATATTTGAATGAGTATTGTCTCTTTCGAAGTAGTCACCTTAGAAGATCAGCCACAATCCAATGATGCTGTTACCCTTGTGTAAATCATTCATTAAATTACTCTTTGAGAATGACCCTCAGAATCTACAATCCATTCTTTCGAAAAACCTCAATAGTGGCAAATCACTTTTCTTTGAGGATTAAGTTCATTTCTCAGGAAAAAAAAAAGTCAAAAGCCATTTGGAGCCAAGTTCTACAAAGTGAATGATCAAACCAAATCTCATTGTTATTTGAAAATAAGAGCTGATTATAAACTGATTGGGATTGTTTTTCTTCTGTAGCTGTGAAGGCTTTTCTGCAAGAAAGTCCCAAAATATTTTGAACAGTAGTAGTATCATTGTAACAAATGTATAACCTTCCAAAGTGAAAACTTTGAAGGGAACCTCTCATTTGAATGTCAAGTTCAGGAATCTTCACGGAAAAATAAATCAGCCAGTTTACAATAAATAACATCATAAATCAAACACAATATAACCATATCTCACTTTACCTAGGCACAGGACACTAAAAAATTAACTTAAGAGAAAACAAAGCATATTTTTTTCCGTATGCACATTTTCCTTTGATTGCATAATCTGTAGGCTGAGAATTATGCCAGTATGTATGTATCTGTATTTATACATATACACATATGTAACTGGGGAGAGAGGTACTTATACATGCACATATATTATTAAAGTTAAACTATCTTCTGTCAAGACATTAAATATCATTATGTATGCATGTACATGTAGAGAACGTATACATACATCTTACAAGCAGTCCCCAATTTATTAGCAGTTTGTGATCCAAATTCCATATGTAAAGTAATCGGTTGGAATTTGGAACACATTTCCTCATGAAAACAATTTAATACACGGTTGTTAGGTTTCCAGGCCAGCCTACAAATACCTACTTAACCTATAACATGATGGAAGCACAGTACTTTTCAACTACACCTAACCACTACTTAACAACATTGTTTTTCAGGGTAAATACATTTCATGTTCTAATTTATGATGTTAGGAATATGGTTCCCCAATAGTAGCAGTATCCAAGATTCCCAGGTTAAAGGAAGGATTAGGAAAATACTATTGACTATTAGTCACTTCTTAATTCTATGCATCTGGATTAGAAATGGCACCTTAAAAGCTAAGAATAATTTTTTTTTAAAAAGGGGGAAGATGAAAGAAGAGCTAGGCTGCTTCTCAAGGAGAATAGATAATGAAAACTAATTATTGAGAGAAAGTAGAGTTGCTCAACTCCCATTTTGCTTCTGTTTTCTTTGCCAAAGAGCTTTGGACTAGAAAGGACAGAACCTAAAGGGATGATAGGGAAATTGATACTCAAAATAAATGAGGTGATACCCAGTGAAATACATCCTAGAGGCTGTCTAATTTTTTATATGTAGCTCTGGTGCTTTAGCACTGTCTCACACACACTAAAAGCTTAATAAAAGATGCTATTGTTTGATTCATTCATTCATTCATTCAACTAGCAGATGTAATTGCCAAACCACTGGCAGTGATTATTCAAAGGTCAGGAAACTAAAGGAGGTATATAGTGTCCTGAAGTTGATAAAAGGAAAGAGAATTGAATCTATAAACCATTGTCAGGTTATCAGACTTTCATTCCTGACAAGATGCTAAAAAGTATTAATAAAGGGATGTAAATTTTTAAAAGGAGGTAGGTATAAAGTTCTCATCAAGAACAAGTCATGAAACACTAATCTCATTTCCTCTTTTAACAGGATTACCATACTGGTAGATTCAGGGAATACTATAGATGGGGTTTACCCAGATGTCTCCCCCATTAGATTATAAGCTCTTTGAGGGAAGGGATTGTATTTTGTCTCTTTTTCTATCCCCAGCACTTAGCAAGGTGCCTGGCACATACTAGATACTTAATAAATAAATGTTTATTGATTGACTGCAAGTATTTGACAAAGTATCGCATGCTCTTCTTGTGACAAAGATAGAGTGATACAGTTTAAGGATAGACTATATTACAGTTACATGGATTCCACGCTGCTTAAATGGCTAGACTGAGTCATTAATGGTTTGATTTCCATTTGGAAGGAGATGTGAGTGAACTGTCCAAGATATCTATGTCCAAGGCATCTTAACATTTTTACCAATGACCTGATGAAGGTTTAGAAAGCATATCAAATTTGCAGATGACATAAAAACTAAGAGAAATAGCCAATGCATTGTAGGACAGAGTCAAGATTTTAAAAGATCTTGACAAGTTAGGACATTGGTCCAAATGAATAATATGCAATTTAATAGAAATAAAAAATAGTCAAATTTGAGTTCAAAAATGTCCACATTACAAATATAAGATGGGGAAACATGGCTAAACAACAATTAGAAAAAAAAACTGAGGGGAGGCTTAGTCGGCTCTAACTTCAATACAGGAATCAAGAACATAATATATACCTAAGGGAGTCAATGAAAGCTTAGACTACATTAAGAGAATAATGGTGTCTAGGGCAAGTGAGATGATAGTACTGATGTGTTCTGCCTTTGAAAGAACACATCTAGAGTGTGGTGCTCAGGTCTGAGTGCCATATTTTTAGGAAGGCTATTGATAACCTAGAGAGTTTACAGAAGAAGACAAACAGGATGGTGAAGGGCCTTAGCATTGTGTCATATGAGCATCAACCAAATGAACTGAGGATGGTTAGATGGGAGGAAAAAAATACTTAGGGAGAAACAATAGCTGTCTTTAAGTATCTGAAGGGTCATCATGTAGAAGTTTAATTAGTCTTGTTTTGCCTGGTCCCAAAAGGAAGACCTAGGGGCAATGGGCAGAAGTTGCAAATAGACAAATGTAGGATTAGCATAAGAAAAACCTTCCTTACAATTAGAGCTATCCAAAAGCAGAAAGGGCTACTTCATGAGGTAGTTAACTCTCCTTCACCAGACCTCTTCAGGCAAAGATGGCAAGACCACTTACCAAGTACGGTGTAGAGAGAATGCTAGAGCAGAAATGGAATGGGTTCAATGGCCTCTGAGATCCCTTCCCACTTTAGGATTCTGTGATTCAATATTTGTTAAAGGTACCTCTCATACGTCAATTCAGGGGAAAGGGAGGTTGCTTTCATAGAGGGGCAGAGCCTCCATGCATGGATTCCCCTACGGCCCATTTGTATGAATGGATTATTCATAAATCAAGTGCTTATATATAAGGGACTCTACATGTATATGTGTATATTTCACACAAATATTATATATGTACATATATGTGTGTATACCACATATACATACATATTGCTTTACATATACATATGTGTATGTATTGTATACATATATAATTATCACATGTGTATATATGTATATATACACACACATATATACATATATGTAGGTATATGTAAAGCCAGAACTGTAGAGAAAGGCCTGACTCAGGCATTTTCTGGATAACTCTGGATGGATTTTTTTGTTTGTTTTGAAAAAAAACAAACCTTCACTCTTTACCTAAAGATGCGATCAAAACTGTTTCTAGGCAATGTCCTCTGTTTTTTTCTCAATAGTTCATATTCTCACAAGGTAGAAACAGTATAAGCTATAATAAACATAGACAAGCATTTTTTTCTGACCATATGCTTCAGCCTCCTCTTTTATAAGAAGACATTTGTCCCTGCTTGCAGAACCATTTAAGGCTATTCTAAGCCATAAGGACTGATAGATTTGTTTTCAACTAAGCAGAATAAACAGACCTCTGTCTAAATGAAAACATGCAGACCTGGGTGTATGGTGATATTTTGTCTTTTTTTCCCCACTTCTTCTCAGGGTATCACAGAAATAACTTCTCAAGTTGGGGACACAGAAAAAGGTGAAGAAAGTATGTTTATATATCCATTGGCCCAATGCTCCTTTTCCAAAGCCAGACAAATATATTGGTGACAGTTTCAGTATAGATGCAATTAGAGTAGTAGGAGAGAGATCTTCTTTCACATGAAGCAGACACAAGGAAGCATGGCACTTGCATGCACCAAACACTACTGCACTTAGAAGGCAACAGTGAAAGAGACCAAAGAAACAACAACAAAAACAACAACAACAACAAAAGATTTAGTTGTACTTCCATTTCCAAACGTATAGCAAAACAAATCATTGCCTCCTACTGCTTAGGTGATGATCAGCATTGTGAGAATTGTGATCAACCCTTTTAATTAAAACCCCAGATGTCCTCATACTTCAGGAGTATGCTTTGGATGAGAATTATCTCTAAGACCAATAGGAGTTCCCATGTTATAGCACATCTGAAGTTTACCTGGAACCTTTGGCATTCTGTGGTCTTACCCAGAGTCCATCATCATAGAACCTGGATCCAGAGGCAGCCACAGAAAAGAATTAGACTTGTTGAATCAGATTGTGTACCCTCCTGAGAGTTCCAATGGAACGAGCTTCCTGTGTCCAATGACTATGTATTGTCAGCAAGAGGCTTCATCCTGTTTTCGGCCTGTGAAAACTTGGGAGTCAGCACAAGGGTACTAACAAACTTCTCTCCCTGATTCTCCTCATCCTCTCCAAGAAACCACAAGACGCCCCTAAATTTTTTCCTGATAGAACCCCTCCACTAAGAAGATAAATAATTAATGGTGAGACTCCTCCAATGAGCAAGGGGTTGAGAAGAATAGAAAACACTACACTAGCCATGAAGATGAAGAAATAATACCTGTGGCATACACTCTTCAGAACAGTAGAACCAAAAGAAGGCACCAGTTCCCTGATTAGTTGGATATATAACATCCCTCCCCCCGGTCTCCCAAGACACTGATAAGTAATCATCCTTACTGAAATAGAATAATATAAATAGAAGACCCTTGGCAAGACTCACAGTCTACCAAAAACAAATACACACACATACATATATGCCCTCCTTCTGCAGGGGGGGGTAGGTATATATCACAATCATGTTAAAAGTGTCATAAATGCCATGAGAAGCAAGCTGTGTCTCCACTTTGAACCATGATAAAGTGATTTTACTTCTTCCAAAGTTGGACAAAGTAGTACTGGGATACTTTACCACATCACACAGAATAGTTAATGAATACCCAGTATTGGATAAGGTGTTTGGGAAGATGGCAGCAGCAGCAGCAGTGGTTGGAATAGGCTCTTGGAAAGAAAAAATTGTTATTGAAGTTCTTAAAGATGCATATTAAATTGTTCCTTTTAGAGCCCAAAAGTTATTTAACCCTTTCCCCTGCAAAGCCCTATAAATATTGACATATCAGCCTCCTCTTTCACAAGATCTCCCTCACATAAAACAGAATCTATTCAAATCAAGCATTTAAACATAAATATTAAAATAATAGGAGGAACAAAATATAAATCTACATAGGACTTCATAACTACCATAGCACCTATTAACCCAGACAAATGTATTCTCCTTGGAGAGGAACAGGAAAAGGCTGAGAAGGTTAAGGAGTCTTGTGACATATCATTAAATATTTAATCACCTTTTCAAAGTTGTAAAGTCTGAGCCTTACTATATTCATCTGACTAGACAGTTCATTCTATACACTATGGATTCCAAGATCCCTTTAGGAAAAAAATGAACAAAAAATAAACAAACAACCTTCTGAGAGGCAGGGTTAAAAAAATAAGCATCTCAATGCCGAGTTTCTATTGATGCTTTAGTGAAGAAGCTCCACCCCCTAAACCCACCAATCCACAGGAGGGCCAAGTGATTGAGTCCAATGGTTTTTAGTCTCCAAGAATCAGTTTTACGAAAGATGCTGCATCTGTTGCTTTGGATTCATGCAGAGTGAAAAACTGATGTTGCTGGGGGAAAAAAACAGAAATATATATCATCAGTATTAGCCACTTACATAGCAGTTTAACAAAAATGTAGACTTGTAACCATATCCTGAGAAAGAACTATAGAGTCTGAATGCAGATCAAAGCATACTACTTTAACTTTGTTTTTGTTTTGTGTTTTTTCCTTCTTGTGGTTTTTCCCTTTTGTTCTGATTCTTCTTTCAGAACCTGATTAATGTGTAAATATGTTTAACATATTGTACATGTATACCCTATATCATATCACTTGCTATTGGGGAGGGAAAAGGAAGGAGGGGAGGGAAGAAGAAAAATTTGGAACTCAAAATTTTACAAAAATGAATGTTGAAAACTATCTTTACATATAATTGGGGAAAAAAACAAAATACTATTTAGGGGAAAAAAACCCAAAAATGTAGACTTGGTTAGGAAGTTGATTATGTGAGCCCATTAGGGCCATATTAATATTTCTGCCGTTACTACATGGTGCCCAACATATAGTAGGCATTCATAAGTAATAATAATTTATTAATAATAATAATAATAGCATGTATATAGTACTTTAAGATTTCCAGTTCATTTTACAAATATTATTTTATTCTCTATTCACAATAGTCCTGGGAGTTACTATTATTACCCCTCTTTTACAGATGAAGAAACTGAGGCAGGCAGAGGTTAAGTGATATATACAGGGTCACACAATTAGTAATGGTCTGAGGCTGGTTTTGAGCTCAGGTGTGAAGATCAAATGAGAAAATATTTCTAAAGCACTTAGCACAGTGCCTGGTAGATACAGTAGTAAGTATTTAATAAATGTTTCCTTCTTTCCTTCCTTTCCCTTTAGACTTCCTCAGGGAAAAGGTGAGAGGCCAGAAAACCAATTTCCTAAATTATTAAATTTTTAAAGCTGCCCTTGACAGAGAGGCAATCTAGGTTGCCTTGGAACTGGTAAAACCTTTGACTTTACAGTAATACTAAAGTACTAGTCAAATCCCATCAATAGTGATTATTTGTACTCATGCCTGAAAAAGGCTGTTCTTTCCTTCCAGGAAGAAATGTATTTTGCCTACATTCTGGGTGTCTTTGGGATTAAAACAACTTTAGAGGCTAGAGACTGAAAAGTAAAAAACAAATATTCAGACATTTCATATCTCAAATGAACAGAACTTAGAAAAACATCTGGCCTTAGAAAAACATCTCCCCAAGAACAAACACATAGGAAACTGTATAACAGTTCTGAAGAAAAGTTAAGGATTTTTTCGTGTACGCAAATGCTACAATTCTCTGACAGCTCAGTTATGTTCCTGGTTAAGTGTACTACTTTCAAAATGTGAGTATTGCATCTCTGTGTAAAAGGAACATGTTCCTATCCCATTCCAAATAAAATGATTACTTAACAGAATCCATTTTTCTTCAGGTACCAAAAAAACTTCTGATCTCTATCATGAGTGTCTGCTGGTATTATTTTAAATAACAATTTAAGGAGCTAAAAATGTTATCCTTTTGCTTCATGGCATAGTTGAGTCATTTCATGTTTCCCTTACTTTTGAGATTTCAGCTTTCAACTTTCACATAGCCTGGTGGGAGGTTTTCCCCATTATACTTATTTTAAACCTGACAGCAAAGGGTAGAGTGAGTCACCTTGTGGGGAACCCAAAGCCTGCCCAAGGAAGTTTTAGAAACAGCACAGAGATCAGGTGAAGGAAAAACAGAACAAAAAGGCCAGACTCAGAAAAGGTAGATGGTCCCTCAGTGGTCCCCCAACAACTTTGCTTTCAAGTCATTCTTCCAAAATCACTCTGGGTATTGTTAGTCTGCAAACCAAAGAGGAATGAGATTAGTCTGTGTTAACAGCTGGCTATGAGCCTGGAAATCTCTATAAGTCATCAGTAGAAGTCATTCTTCCATGAAGCTGAGGACTAGGGTCAGTAGGACTCTAAGCCACCTGATATCGGTCCCCAGGGATGACATACAGTGCCACCCTCTGGATTACAAAGCGCTCATATGTCAACTTGCACTAACCAAGTTATTTACAATCATTTTTATTATTACTGGGTGGCAGGAGGTTTTCTACATTTTCCAGACACTTAAGAAATTTTCTCAGAGTACTTAAGATGAGGGGCAAATGAAAGTTGTTTCCTGAAGCAAATCTACACCTTCCAGCCCCCACCCTGTCTCTTTGTTCAGGAGGTCTGGGCATGAAATCCAACAAACTGCCTTGAAGTCATTCTTCCAAAATCAGTCTGGGTGTGTTTTCCTCTCTACCTTTTTTTTTTTAATTCACAGGCTAGAAAAGTGTTGTAGGAACCACAAGGGGAGGGGGAAACCGAGGAAGTCAGAGTCATGGGCAGTTACTGTCAAAATAGAAAGTCTGACTCGCCCTCTTGTGTGGGATTTAAGGCTATTAAAGGTTGGGAAGGAACCCATTTCTCCTGCAAGCAATGGGCTAAGAATAACAGAGACAACAAAGCATTCTGAATGTTACCAGCTCATGGTTTGGAATTAAGACTTCGAGAGGTAGGGTGCTAGAAGCAAGATGAAGGAGATTCTCCTTTACCTTTTAGGAGGCCCCACAATACACAGGATGCAACAGACATAACACAATGGTGTGAGAGTATACCATCATGAATATGGGGTGTTGTATGGCAACAAGATACCCAACATGTGCTGTACGACACCCAACAGCTGCACAACCTACTTTCTTCTTTCACCCACCATCACCACAACCTCTGTGCATAACCTCTAAATTAAGGTACCATGACATAACTGTACATCTGCACCCAGTCCCACCAATCATCTTACACACACACACACACACACACACACACACCAGCAATAGCCTGCCAGCACTAACCACTGTAGCACCTGTTGTGGTAGAAGCACCACTTATTTTGTGTGGGGGCTGGCACACAAATGGGGAAAGGAGGCAATTCTTAGGATTTGGTTGGCTCAGGGGACTCAGGCTTGAATTATAGGTTTGGTTTCCCTAGCTCCTGAAGCACAAAAGGCACAGTCTATGGGGAGCTGGCACAAGTGAGGTCTTAAAGGAACTCCTACTGCCCTGTGCAGATGCCTTTATAACTTAGCAGCAAGGTGTTTTTAAAAATAGGAAAAGGACCCACATGTACAAAAATATCTGTAGCAGCTCTTCTTGTGGTGGCAAAGAACTGAAAATTGAGGGGATGCCCATCAATTGGAGAATGGCCGAACAACTTTGCTATATGAATGTAATGGAATCATTATTGCACTATAAGAAATGATGAGCAGGCAGGCTTCAGAAAAACCTGGAAGGACTTATATGGACTGATGCTGAGTGAAGTGAGCACAACCAGGAGAACACTGTACACAGTAACAGCCACACTGTGAGATGACTAACTTTATTAGACTTATCTCTTCTTAGCAATGCAAGGCCCTAAGACAACTCCAAAAGACCTATGATGGAAAATGCTATCCACATCCAGAGAAAGAACTATGGAGACTGAATGCAGATCGAAGCATATTATTTGCTTGTGCTCGCGCTCTCTCTCTCTCTCTGTCTGTCTGTCTGTCTGTCTGTCTCTCTCTCTCTCTCTCTCTCTGTCTCTCTCTCTCTCTCTGTCTCTCTCTCTGTCTCTCTGTCTCTCTCTCTCTCTCTGTCTCTCTCTCTGTCTCTCTGTCTCTCTCTCTCTCTCTCTCTCTCTCTCTCTCTCTCTCTCTCTCTCTCTCTCTCTCTCTCTCTCTCTCTCTCTCGTTTCTTCTTTCTCGTGGTTTCTCCCCTTGGTTCTAATTCTTCTTTACCACTTGACTAATGTGAAAATAGGTTTAATATGAAAGTATATGTAGAGCCTATATCAGATTACACTCTGTCTTGGGTTAGGGGAGTGGAGTGATGGGGAGAAAATTTGGAACTCAAGATCTTATGGAAGTGAATATTGAAAACTAAAATTAAATAAATTAATTTTTAAAAAATAGATCAATGCCAAAGTGGAAAAAAGCATTAATGTGTTTTGTTTTTGCTTAGATGACTGAAATGAGGAGTTCTTTAGATTTGAATACACAAAGATGAATTATCTCTGCAGCTGGTTCCCTGAAAGGAGCCAGTGAGGGAAGGGGTGAATTTTTTTTCCAAAGAGATGGGTTTGGTAGACTGGATTTATGCTACCTAACGAGGACACTCAATTCCCTATGATATAGCTGCTTCAGGCGCAATTAAAACCTAGCTTTTGAGTAGTGCCCCACCTAAATGGCATCATCCTTTAGCTATGGGCTTTCCCTGACACAATTATACCAGGCCTAGGTAGATCAATTGGTGAAGTTTGATCAGGACAATTGTGCGGCTCTGAAAGACAAGTAGGGATGTGCACACAAACAGAAGCTCAAGGAGTAAGCACTGTGCTCACTGCCACATTAGGTGGATAGAAAATGATAATATTCTTTCCCTTGTGGACCTTGGAGTATGCCTTTTGGAACAAGGCTTGGTGGACAAGAAAATAGATAATCAGCCTGTAGAAGTGGGAGCTTGGAGTCAGGAAGAAATAAGCTCAAATCCAGCCTCAGACACTTACTAGCTATGTGACCCTGGGCAAGCCACTTAACCTCTGTGGAATGGCAAACTACTCCAGTATCTTTACCAAGAAAATCCCATGGACAGTATTGGTGTGCTATGGTCTATGGGGTTACGAAGAGTCAGACAAGACTGAATAACAACAATTTTGCTTTTTAGTGATATAGAGTAGATGAAATTGTCTTTTTATACCTGTAGCAGGCAAGAATTTGCCTAGAGGAACAGAGATCTTTTAGCTAATTGGGTGATAACTTGAGTCCCTAGATGAAGATGAGGGAGACTCCATCTAACTTGGAGATAAAAGGGGAGACTTCTGAAGGGCCACAAATTTAGTACCATCCCCCTGTTCTGGAGTTCCCAGGAAAGAGGAGGCTTTGACCAGTGTGCCTGGGACCTTTGGTGGATAATTCAATGGGAGAAGTCCCAGTGTGAACTTAGTCCCTCGGAGAGATAGCACGTAAAATCTTAAAACCTTTTAAATACTCTGCCAATGTACTTGTGGTTGGGATTGGTGATTATGTTGGAACTATTATCAATTGGAGCTCTGATATTCCTGGTGTTGCTACTGGTCATAATGGTTATTCTCACATCACTGGCTTACGCTGAGCCATGCTTTACATTACCTTTATCGTATGAAGTTTACTTTTTAGAAGATTGTATTGTTGTGCATTTTTATTATTTATATTAAGCTCTTCTACCAGTGTTTTTTATGAAGTCTGAATTCTTTTATTTTCTATTTTAGTGGTAGGTCACCTAGAAAATTTGGGGACCTTACCATAAAGGATGAGATATGATAAGAACACCATCTATTTTGTATGAGATAGACTGGTTTTCCTTTAAGAGGGACATCTTTGCGATTTGGTTGGCCTGGGACTGAGGCTTGAATAATTGATTTGACTTCCCTGCCCCCTAAGGTGTAAAAGAGCTAGCTTATGGTGAGCTGGTAACTGAGAGGTTTTAGTGACATGCCTACCATCCTGTGGGGATTGCTTTCTGATCTAACATTGATTCTGGTGGTGAATGCAGTGGCAGAAGGGAGTAGCATGTTATTCGAATAAGGATCCTCTTTAACCTTGAGAATCGTATCCTTTTTATCCGTTGTGATTAATAAAGTCATTTTATTGCATTTTGCGGTCCACGAGTATTTCATGGAATTCTAACCCCAGGCCTAAATCATTTAATTGTCCTGAGTTAGATCTAGCCCAAAACACCCATCCTTACTGACCATCATCTCCTGGAGGCAAATCCTACTGAATCATGCCAACTGATAATAGTTTGAAAGTGTAGATAATTTATCTTAGGGGTCATAGGGAGCATGACCTATTTGTTAATTCCTGAGTTCAATCCAAGTAAAGAAGAAAGGAATTTGGAGTCTTCTGAAAGTCAAAAACAAACCAACTCAGCACCCCTATTTTCCTTGCATCAGATGGAAATGGCAAACTGTTAGTGCTTTCTGTTCGTGCTCCATTTCATCTGGAAAGGGATTCTTCCCTCTCAGCCCATGTAGTCTTCTAACTTGAACAATAGTATCTCAGCATCTGTTTTCCCAATGCTAGAGTCAGGGAGTTGGGACTCAGATTTTCCATTAAAAACCTCAACTCCACAGGAAAGCAGGGAGCAGTTATGGTCTTAAAAGAGAAGTCCATTCCAGTACCGCAAAGTCTAAAGCCATAAGAAGAATAAGAAAAAAAAACCCACAAGGCCTCACAACATTAATATGTCAGCCATAAAATACCACAGTGTTAAGATATTCTGGAAAGGTAGCTTAATAGAAATGAACACAGCTGCCAGTGGGTATTAAGCTGGAACCAAACATCTTTCCTCAAATGTGCTCCAGTGAACCTTTATGATAAGAGGCCACTTGGAAGGAAAATGCATTGCTCCTTAAATACACACAGACACATATGAATAAACTGGACCCTTCTGCCTGACAACTGGTGTCAAAGCAAAATCATATTCAAATTGCATTTCAGACTCCAAAATAATACCCCAGGCCTACTCCTAGTGTCAAAATTAAATTCTGATCAGTATTGAATCCTATTAAAAGTCTCATGCCTATTTGGGGCTTAAATACTTGTTCAATTAAAATTGTTGTTGAGTATTTAAAATGGGATATGAAGGATAACAGGGCTTCCCAAGCCAGGTAATCAAACTGCTCATAAATGGAGTAAGAAAAGGTCACATCGAGAATGAAATTTTTTCAAGAATCACCCTGTCTCTTGGACCATATCACAAGCCCTTAGCCTCAATGTAAAATTGCTCTTAGAGTTCTGAAGCATTGGGAGCTACCTCATTAATGGGGATGGCAAAAATTCTGCACAAACTAAAACACTGAAGGAACGAGGGCCCAGACTACCTTCAGGGCCAGGAAAAAATGAATAGATGATGAAGGAACTCAAAGAGAAAAGCTAAGGTCATTCAGGGCTAGAGTAAGACCATTTATCCCTTCTCAGGTCACAAAGCTATGAAGAATTCTTTCTTTTTTTTTGGGGTCATCCAACTGAAGTGAATACAATTCAGTTGAAACAGCATAGTTGGATCTTTGGCCAGAATTTAAATCTTAAGCTTAAACCAGAGAAACTGAAAGGTGTTCCATGATTTCTTGCCAGTCTCAAACATCTCCCTCATCAGTTTCTTGGATCTAGAATGAGGAGATTAAGTTCAAATCCCAGCTGGCCTACTTCCTAGCTATGCAATCTTAGTCACGCTAAGCTCTCTGAGACTCAGTTCCCTCATCTGTAAAATGGGGATAATGATCCTTTCATTATTTACCTTATAGGGCTGTTGCAAGGAAAGTGCCTTGTAAGATTTTGTTGTTCAGTAGTTTCAGTCATGTCCAACCCTTTGTGATCCCATTTCGGGTTTTCTTGGCAAAGACACCGGAGTAGTTTGCCATTTCCTTCTCCAGCTCATTTTACAGATGAGGAAACAGGCAAACAAGTTTAAGTGACTTGCCTGGGATCACACAGTTAGTTAAGTATCTGAGGACAGAATTGAACTAGGTCTTCCTGACTCCAGGCCCAGTGCTCTAACCACTATACCAACTAGCTTTCCACTTTGTAAGAAATACTATATAAAAAAATAAGCTATCATCACCATTATTATCTGCACCTTTTTTTTTTTAAATCACCAAGTGACTTTATTCTCCATTTGTTTAAAGAATTCCAGGAACAATATCTTTAGCACTCTACATGTGGTAGTCTCAGCAGGGGGAAAAGAGGCAAAAATGAAAAATCTCATTTCTTACTTAATAATTGGGTTATTAGCAAAAAATTGGGTCATGTTTTTCTCATCCTATCTAAATAGCAGAATTTAACATACAAATTCCAAGAAAGTCATGCCTAAATTAGTGAATATTCTGAAATATAAAATATGGTTTAAAGAAAAGTATTTCTATTATCATTAAACATATAAAAAACTAATGCCAAATTTTGCAAATGAGTCATCCTGGTTTCTTTGTGATTAATGGTTACGCATGTACTCCGAAAGTGCTAGAAAAGTCTGTTTTCTTGGGTAAACTAAGTATTTGTGATAAGATTTTATTTACATTTTGAATTTGCTGAGAAAATCTTTTATTTTATAGTTAGTAAAAAAGGTAAATTATGAATTCTCATTGAATAGCACTCTAATGAAGTTTCAACAAACTTGTTTAAGGCTAGCAGTATTCTAGGAGAGGGACTATATCCCTAACCAAGGAAGAAATAAATATTTGTCCAGAAATAAAAAAACAGAGTTTTTTTTCCCAACAAAACTGATTAATGTTAATATTTCACCCAAAACAATCAATCTATATCCATCCTTCTGAATCTCTTGTACCACTTTTTAAGAAACTGGGGGTTTTTTAAGTCTAAAATTCCTCTTGCAATAGTAATGTAAAATTCTTAGCACTTCTGAATCTGAGGGTATCAGAGATCTCAAAGCACTTTGCAAATTTAACTGTATGCTATATAACTCTGTTAGTTTCCCATAAAAGTAGCCAGAAATGGTAATTAAGGGATCTTTGCCAAGATTATACAAGAGACAGTACTCAGACCAAAAATAAAACATAATGCTCTGAACTCTTCATTAAAAAAAAATCAATCAATGGCATTCATGTGTTGGTGAATTCACTATTTCAATAATATTATTTGGTTATAATTTATATTCGAGTCATTTAACCTTCAGTAGATGTTAGTTTGGACATGTTTATACTACTAACAATACTCACCATAAGTTCTGCGTATGTTGGCCGTTCTTTGGAATTCTTCTTCAAGCTTAAAAAAGGGAAAAATTAAACACATTAAAATCAAGAAACCATCTGCATTTTCACTAGACTGGGATTTCAGAACCTGCAGAAGACTAAACATAACCAACTTGAAAAACAATATTGAAAACATAGGTTTCCAATGTTGACTTGCCTCTTCCATTCAACTTTTAAATCAAGTTTTAAATCAAGAGTGGACATGAGTTCAAGGAAAGAAAATACATATGCTTTCCTTGGAGATGCCATACCTATGACATAAAAGTTTGCCCTTCAAATTTACAGTCATTATAAATCAAAATATATCTACTTTCCTCTAGAGTTTGCTTTCAATTCACCACCCACAACTTTCTGCAACAACTACAGTTTGGCAATGGGATCTTAAGATTACATTTGCTATGGAGTAATTTTAAAACTCTGGGATCACTATGTCTCAACTAGTCTGTTCACTATTACTTCTACTTTCTCCTGGTGTCCTAGAAATGTTTCCTTTTTGCATGTCACTAATGTAGTCCATCTGAGTTATGAACAAGCTTAACCCATTAAATTTCCAAGGCAATGGAACTTATGTATGGCAGATTAATTGCCAAGGCAAAAAGTATATTCAGTCAATAATGAAGCAATTATTCTTAGTCAAACTGAACAAGAATGCACTAGTTTGTGACAAGCACAGCCATGTCTATCCATTGCTCAGTTCATAATAGCGACTCCTGTGAAAAAAGGAGGAAAGGGTGGTTAATGAAAGAGCTATAAACTCAATCAGTCCATGTTGTTATATCAGTGATGAAAAAGTTGGCTTCACTTTGACACATGACACAGAATGAGGGCAGTGATAGTCCTATTGTATTCTGTCATAATTAGACCATTTCTGGGGCCTTGTGTTCAGTTCCCAGTGCCACATTTTAGGAAGAACATTGAGGAGATGGAACATGTCCAGAAGAGGGCAAATGACATAGTAAAGGAACTGGAGACTATGACATAAAGAATCATCTAAAAGAACTAGGTATGTACAGTCTGAAGAAGAGGAGATTTTAGGGGGATATGACACAGCCAACCTCAAGAATATAAAGGGCTATCATATGGAAGAAAAATTAGATTGAAATTAGATTTGTTCATAGGGCGGAACCAGGTACTATGATTAGAAATTATAAAAACAAACCAAAAAAAATCCAGACCAAAGCTTGCTATAAGGATGCACTTCATAACAATTAGCACTATTCAAAACCAGGATGTCCCCTTGAGAGGTTCCCTTTCACTGCATGCATTCAAACAGTTACCAGATGACTACCTGTTGAGTATGATGTAGAAGATATTCTTGTTCAAGTAAGGGTTGGACTAGATGTCCCCTGAATTCCCTTCCAACTCAGATTCTGTTGCTTAAACTAAAAACATTTTAACAAAATTTGGTTTTAGGATTAAAAGAACACAATACAAAGAGACGACATTTTTTGAGGAGACCCATATAGTCAGTTAACAAGTCAGTCAGGAAGCTTTTATTAAGCACTATTATGTACCAGGCACTGTGATAGGCTCTGGGGAAACAAAGAAAGGCAAAAAAAAAAAAAAACCCGCAATCTCTTCTATCAAGGAGTTCACATTCTAATGAGAGGAGAAAGAATAAAGAAAATCTATTTGGATACAAAAGTTTGAGTTACAGGGCAGAAAGAAAGAAGCAACATAAACATTTGCAGAGCAGCCAATAGTAACACCATTTTCCCTGCTTCTCAAAAGCATATACTGTGTGGATTGAAAACAACCTGTCTGGCTAAGGCTGCAGTAACCAAGATGTAATTGAACTTTAATTATAAACAATACATGTTTTCACAGAAGCAAGAGACCTAAAAATCTGGATATGACCCCTATACCACCTAAGTGGCCTGATAACACCAAAAGGGAGAAAGAGGAGTTATGAAGAAACATGGTCATTTAAAAGACCTCTAAGAGGCTCAAAAAAGAAGAGAATTTAGAACAATGAATATCAATGGAAACTGTGAGATCAAATTTGGCCCATGGAAGCCCCAAAATTGATGGCATAGATCACTGAATCTAGAGCAAGAAGAGAGCTTGGAAATAATTTCGTCTACCCAACCTCCTTTATATTTCAAAAAACAAAACTGAGTCTCATAAATGTGAAATATCTTGCCCAAGGTCACACATGCAGCAAGCAAAATATTTTCTAGTCAGTTTTATTGTTGTCTCAGTAACTCTCCTCCTCTTCCTCCTCCATTATAACCACCAGCCCCATCCCCATTTCCTTCAAAGACCAGGTCCCTGCTGTCCTACAGAGAAAGAAACACAGGGAAATACTTTGATCCCCAAGTCACTGTTCTAATGTATATATGTTATAGCTATGATCCAACCAGCTAATATTGTAGCAGCCTAAGTTAGCTGACTAATGCTCTATATAAACTTAAGCATCACAAAGTAGATTACTCACACTTGAGAGGCTGGGAGGAGGGAACCGAGTCAATGAAGAAAAATACAATCACAAATACGAAGGTTGAATTCAAACTTCAATTGGTGTTTTATGAGGTTTCTGTTTACATTGAACACTTAGAAACCTGTCAGGCTAATGTCAATCACTAGACTCTCCCATGTGTGGAATCTTCTTATTTAGGACAGGATACTTTTCTATTCTTGACTTTTCTGCATGGTCTAACAAAGTTAAGACTCCAAACCAGGCAAATCACACTTCCCAAAAAGTGCCACAATATGATAACTTTCCAACACAGAAGTGCCATTTGACTTCATGTTTTTTGTTACATAGTTATAATGCAAAAATAAGCAACTTTCTTCTCTGGTTTGCTAGGAGAACCTAATGACGTTCCTTCAGTAGAGGGAATTTTTTTAAAGACGTATCTACTTACTTCCTGAGTAGCTGGTTTATGGGAAATTTCCCATATGAAATCTAAACAGGCCTTAAAATTAATATGTCGTGGAAAGCATCCAATAAGTGCTTCAAAGAGAAGTGCCTTCATGAACTACAACAGACACATCATGTAGAGGGATGCTCAGACATTCAGGAAATAGAGGATGTTGGCCAACCGGGTATTTTCTGTCTCCTAGCCCCTCATTAGCAAGTTGAGTTTTACTGTAAGTGTTACATAGCCTACTAATACGGAAAACACTAACATAGCAAACCAACATTGTTTAGTGCATTAATATAGTCCATTCTTTGTCTTTTAAATCTATAAGACTTCAAAACATGGACTAAGAATGGCAAAGTACTCAAGATAAGGTTAGGGGATAGGAAGCAAACTTTCTATCTTTAATGGGAAGCACTTGAAATTCAATATAAAATAACAACTGTCAAGTTCAAAGCTACATCAATTTCTTGTTGGGATTGATTCAGACTTTTGAGTTTTCAAGTGGCTTGCCATTTCCAAGCGTGCAATTAGTTAACTGCTCTAATTCCTCTTCCAAATGCCACAACACATGCTCCTGACCGTAGCTGACACTAAAAAACGGCTTCCTGCTGCCTAAAGAATTGCTAGTTTGGTGTTTGTGCTGACCAGAGGATTTCTGCCTATTTGAACTCACCCTGGCTGATTCCAAGGAGGACTATTTGGTGCATCCGCAGAATAAAAACATATTGCGCCTTTGTAACCATGCATTTGTCATAAGCAAAATAAATATGCCCTGTCTCTACTCCCTGCCTGCTAAGATGGAGAATATGACTGACTCCATTTGGTACCATTCACCTACTGCTGGAAAGCATATGCACCTGTGAGGGCTTCCAATACACTAGCCTAAAATTTAGTATAACAAGATGGGTAGGATCAAAGTCCATCTGGTACATTAGGTCTGGATTTATGTTCAGTACCTCTCTAATGTCATAAGAGCCTCAAAGAAGCAGAAAAGCAGTCTGGCTTTTTTTTTCTTTTTAGCAGCCTTGAGATTCTGATTTTCAGTAGTATTATCTCTGTGCATGAGGCCTAATGTTGTTGTCGCTTTTGTTCAGTCATGTCTGACTCCTTGTGACTCCATTTGGAGTTTTCTTGGCAAAGATATTAGAGTGGTTTACCATGTCCTTCTCTAGCTCATGTTACAGATGAGGAAACAGGCAAACAGGGTTAAGTGACTTGCCCAGGGTCACACAGCTACTAAGTATCTGAGGCCAGATTTGAACTTGGGAAAATGAATCTTTCTGACTCTAGGCCTGGTGCTCTATGCAGAAAAGGGAACCTCATACTGCCATTACTGAGAAATCTCATTTGTTTGTCTTTTGGCAAAATCTTTGAGATTTCTTTACTTCTTCATTAACCAACACAGCCCAGACACAGTCCTTAAAACCACCATCTAAATAAGACCACCACCCCCAAAGAGTCTGCATCTTAAAAAATGATAGTCTCAAAAGAAAAAAAGAAAAAAAGCTGTTGACAAGCCAAAATTTTAAAACAAGTTTGGAAAAGTATGTTTGGATTTATATTTGTAAAAAAATATATAAAAGTAATCATTAAATGGAGCTCCAACAGTATAATGTTAAATGATCCCTGCCCTTACCATCATCACCATCCATCTTAAAAGCAAACAAACATAAAGTAATATTTAACTCATTGAAGCTGATAAGAATCAGGCCTTGGAAGTGGATCACAACAGGTGGCATTTTGGGTCCCCAGATCTGACCTGGTGTTCCTAAAGCATTGTATCCCAAGTGCTACCTTGTGTGTTCCACAAGTACCCATTGACCTTCCAACTTAGCTGTGATTGGTAATGACTAGCCAAGAGAGAAGAGCTACCAAGAAGATGCATCGGATATAAATGTAATGTGTGTAATAGCCCTAGAATGCCAGCAAAATACCAAAGCAAAATGTTTCTCACAAAATAAAGAGGAAAAAAAATGCTGTAATAGACCACCAAGGATGAGGGCAAGATCCTTCTCCCACTGCCCATACTCACACTTAAGAGTTCTCTATGACTAGGAATACAATATACAGCTGTATTCAGGAATAAAAAGAATAGAGCTCTTAATCAATTACATAAACTTTTCATGTTCCCAGGCTTCATTCTCTT